ATACTAATATTGATTTAGAGTAAATTATTTCCTATTGTGTTAAGCCAGAAATAGAAATGATCACATAACCATTGCTTCAAAGCCATAAAACTCCCCAGGCAGGTTTACTTACACTTCTTAAGTTACGTTTCCCAGTGACCTTGTCCCACTTCTGCATGCACAAGATGGGTAAATATTAGATCGAGTACAATCTCCCAGCGTGTGATGCTATTTATATTATGCAGATCCTTGGCTAGCCATGCACAAGTTTGGAAAATGTCTCAAAACTGCTTAATACACATCTAATTTGGAAAAAGTAATCTATTAGAAATATAAAATTAATAATTACCAAAAAATCCAGGTATATGAAAAGTCAATAACTTATATGCATCAAACTGCAAGACATAAGTCCTTATGAACTTTCTGAAAACTTCTTCTCTACCATGTTTTCCCTCTCTGATCTCTATCATGCAGGTAAATAGAATGGAGCTGCAAAGAAAAGACGATCATATAAACTTTTAGAGAAAATTAGGTCACTTTACTTTCCAGTAGTTGCATTCTCCTGCCCCCAACATCCACCCCCACTCCATAGGCTATTACAAATAAGAAGGGGGCTGCCTCAAGTGGCAGCCAAACATCCACTCCAAATCTTTTCTACTCACCTCTCCCCAAGTCAGTCTACAGGTGTGACATTGAGAGCATGGGCTATGGGTTCACACCATTTCAAAGAATTAGCTGTCTATAATACTCCACCACCCTCTTCTTCCATTCAAGAAAGTACATCATGAAGTAAAAAGCACAAGTGATAACATAGGGTAACTGTGCATCCATGCACTCCAATGATTCCAAATGTCAATATTGCAACTCTTAGTGGTCCCAAATGTATTTCTATTCATGTAGATCTATGCGGCTGAGAAATAGCGCCTTGGAGAGAGCCTGCGGAATAGCATCTGGGGTGGAATATCCACCAGGAACCCAAGTATCTACTCTTTGCACACAAGAAATTTGGTCACAGCCCCCTGCCCATTGCCTCCAAGGTTCCGAATAGTTCTGCACTTCCTATAATACAGGAAGGATGTTCAACATTCTCCCTTAGATCTGGAGTTGGGTTCAGTTCCCCTGGACAGAATCACTAGAACTTCAAAATACACTGCAAAAGAATTGATGAGTGGTTGCCCTCTTCAACAATGCACATAAGGGTGAAAGGTTTGTATTAGTGAGCATTAAATACACAGAACCATGAATTTCATATACAACAGCACTTGAGCTTCGGGACCTCCACCCTATGATAGACCTGCTTCCCATTTGTATTCACATAGAATAGTTCAAATTGTTTTAGATCACCTGAATTTAGGTTAGTGAACTTCTAATTATCCAAATACGCACTGGTAGAACTACATTTGTAGATGCAGTCTCTGGTTGTTATGCATAAGAAACCACAGTCAAATGTCCCTCATCTCCTTTACGTTCTTTTCTTCCATATAGAAAAATTTTCCATGATTTTTTCCTCTAAAGGGAAATTATAGTCAGTTATGGTAAATGGTAGAAACTCTAAACAGCACAAAAAACCACTTCTGGGAAAATGAAATAAATTCCTAATTAAGAATAAAAATCCCAATTAAACTAAATCACATTCTTTTTTTTTTAAAGATTTTATTTATTTATTTGACAGAGAGAGAGAGCAAGAGCAGGAACACAAGCAGGGGGAGTGGGAGAGGGAGAAGCAGGCTTTCTGCTGAGGAGGGAGCCCGATGCGGGGCTCAATCCCAAGACCCTGGGATCATGACCCAAGCCGAAGGCAGACACCTAACGACTGAGCCACCCAGGCACCCCACTAAATCACATTCTTAATCATTCTATCAGAACTAGTCATTTTTTTATCTAACATAATATGATCTTCCCATTAAACTAAGATTATATTCACAGCTCAGTGTTCCTATAAGGAGTTAATGAACGTAAAGTTAAGTCCTAGACATTGGCATGAACCAGACCTAAGCCGTAAAGCCCAGCTCTCTCATTAACTAGCTGTGTAAACTTGGACAAGCTGCTTATTCTCTCCACATTTATTTTTCATCTGTAAAACAAGAAAAAGTCTAGCACCTACCCCAGGTGACTGATGCAAACAGTAAATAAGATAATGTACGCAAACCTCCAAGGACCATGCCTGGCAAATTGTAAGCCCCCAACAGATGTCTATTGGTAGCAGAAGCAGCAATAATAGAAACAGCAGCAACAGCAGGAGTCTGGATTGTTCCCCAAGCTTTATTTCATCTAGCTCTACTTTTTGACAAAAACAAAACCCCACTGGTAAGAATTAGCTGTCTATAATACTCTATATCTTACTCTCCTTCCTGGAAAGAGGAAAGGACTATATTATACCTCCCAACCCCTTGCAACTGTGTCACTTCCAGCCTAAGGAACTGAGGAGCCAATGTGCCATCTCCACACACCCCCTTCCTCTGGTGTAACAACTCTTGAAGCCATGTGTCAAGATGTAGAAAGCCTGAATCCTGAATCACTGTCTGGAGGAGGGCTGCCCTAGAGAGTCACCTGACCTACTTCATACTTCCAGTGAATAAGAAGGAATCTTGATGTGTTAAGCCACTGAGATTTGATTGCTGCAGCAGGATCTACCCTATCCTGACCAACAGGTACTCATAGACCCCTAAAACAGATCCTGACATAATTCCCACAGGAGAAGGAGAGGTGCTTCAATTTTCAAAAAATAACTTGCTTTTTGTCAATCTTTATATTCTTTACTTTGTAATACTACCTCATACTGCAAGTAAATTGACTTTTCAAACTCTGTGCTTCTTCCTCCTTTTACATTTTTAACCTAAAAAAGAAAATAATTGCATTTTACTTATATTTAATAGATTAATACTGGAGCTTTTACTGGATCACATGTCACATGGTTATAGGGCACCCATAGTACCCAAGGTAGCCTGTGATCATAGTTTCTTCCAGAGCTAGGAAGGGGTACTAGAAGCACCCTCAAGTATTCGCTTATTTCTGGCTTACAGCAACATGGGACAGTTAAGTAGAATTATGGATATTTCCTAGTTTAAACTAAACTAACCCTTACAAAATAGACAAGGGGTTTAAAATGTTTTTACAACAGCAAGAAGGTTCTGTGGGTCCTTAAAATGTACCTCAATATATTATTTATTTTATTTTGTCAACAACTTCCATATTTAATTCTGTGTGAATGTCAGAAAAGACACATAATACATTGGCATAATAGCACATCATGTAATTTATAAGTAAATAAACACATATAAGTGAGAGTCTGTGCTCAAAAAAAATTTAATGATAGCAACATAAGATAAAAGCAATTTTGGAGCTGACAGTTTAAAGAATGGCTTTCAAACTTTTTCGTCACTACTTGCATCATTCCTAAATGGCTGTAAACATTTTCCAAAACAACTAAAGAAGAAAACCGGTACAGAACTAGGGAAATACACATAGCAGTAACAAGTTCACAAGGACATCATGAACCAGTAAAGTCAGGGGAAAAAAGCAGAAATGATAGTAAAGAGCATTAATTTGATTTAGGATTGAAGAACACAACTTTCTGTTCCAACTAAAAATCACATTTCCACATCTGAAAACCAGCAAAGGCTCTGTCAGATTGTCAAAAGGATAAGGTGATTGCTTTCTACACATAGAAGCAGAATGAAGAGCAGATTCTCATAGAGATCAAAAATCCTTCTAAAGATACTTGGACACCAAGGGGTGGTATCCAGGGAAACAGATAGGAGGGCCAGCAGATAAACCCAAGAAAGGCAGAGAGCTTCGTGAGGCCAACATCAAGACCAATTATCAAAGAATCACTAGTTCAGCCAAGTTGGAATTATCTCAAATTTCTACAGAAAGTTAAACGATACCTTGAAATTTTTCCGCCAAATGGCACAGCACTCACTACTCCCCATCTCATTGCACTTATCTCACTACTCGCAAGAGGTGAAGCTGGAATTTAAACCCAGGCATGTCGGACTCCAAAGCCCTTATGAAAACAGCAGCAGATAAATGAGCTCCACAGAATAGGTAGGATTTGGAAATGGAGACTGGCCAACCCTGAAAGGGAAGAGGCAGGGAGAGGGGTTGCTGAGAAGGCCACTGGGAAAGGGAACAGAAAGAGCAAAGGACTGAAGGGGGAAAACCCTGAGTATGTGCAGAAATTACTAAGTGGGAGTGCAGGTAGCATAGGAGATGTGCATGGAGGTGGTATGAGATAAGGCTGGAAGAGGTTAGCTCAGGCCTTCCAAATAAAGGTGCCATCAGCTCAGCCAAAGAGGCAGAATTCACTCTGAAGGCAGTAAGTAATTATTGAGGACTTTAAAGCAGAGAAATGGTATAAATGCAAGTAGACACTGGGAAAACTAATCTTGCTATAACATGAAAGATAGATCAAAAAAGAGTAAGAAGGTGCCTTGCACATAGTACATGCTTATTTAATATGAATGGATAAAGGAAAGACCAGGTTACAACTTTTTGTGTTTCTCCAACATGATATCAAACCCATTCCACCCAGTGTTATTTAATATTATTTGGTTTGCTGTTTAGAGAATAAACTCCACTCATTCTGGAAAGAAATAGTTGCTGTGACTTCAAGAATAATTCAATTCACCAGTCAAATGTGGCTCTCTAAATGTTGCTGTTAAAGTGTCTACTCTTGCAAAAATTAACATTTTCCTCTTCAATGCAGAGGGAAGTACATCTGAGCTGCTGTTGTTACTGCTGAAAAAGAAAAAAAAATAACGAAGTATAAAAGTTAGGCAATAAAGAATGATTCCCCCTCTTCTGCAACAGTGTGAAAAAGTTATTGGAAAATGAGATCACAAGTTATAATTTCATATTGCTTATGACCTTTTGTAGTCTCTAAGTCAAACACGTACTAAACCATAGCTTTCTTGATGATGCCGAACTTTCTTCTGCGCAGGTCGTGGTGCCATCTGCGAAGCATCAACTACTCAGTGAGAAGCCAAGGCTGAAAAACACTGAGATGAGTCATAACCTACCTGATTTTCTTCATGGGAAACCCTCATCTGCTCCTTGAGGACAGACATTCGGGCTGCCTCTTCTTTCCTCAAGACTCTCTCCTTTTTGAGCTCAGGACTCCAGAAGGTCTTGATACTGTTCATGGAAGATCCTAACTTGCTGTCCTTGATGTCTAGTTCTTTCCGGAGGAGGTCATTCTCTCTCTGAAGTTCCTTGAGCTGGGCTTGAAGGTCTAACATTGTGCTATCCCTTACCTGCCTCAACATGGAAGGGACCTGGTGGTGGTGATGATGGGATGAGCTAGTCAGACCACCATGTTGATCCGTGTATGAAAGAACATCTGTGTGGGAAAGTCCAGCAGAAGCAATATTGGGACTACTCCCCATGGCTGTGACTCGGCCACCATATACAGCTCGATTTGTGGCCCTTCCCAGAGTCATGGTGCCCTTTGGGTAAGTTGTTGAAGCCACCCCCTCATGATCACTCAGATACATAGGTCCAGATGTAGCATAGGCTGCATTAAGGGACTGGATATTCTCCATGGACAGTGTCTTGCCTGTTCCTCCACCTCCCCCACTGCTTGTTCTTCTGTGGCCCAAACGAGGAGACCTTGGCAAACGAGGAGATCTGGAAGGACTGGCTTCCAGATTGGTGATTGTTCTTGCACTTCCATACATTTTTCTTCTATTATGAGGTGCTACTAAAGAGAAGGACTGCTATACTAAGTTGGGGGTTATGCCAATATTTCCACTATTGGCCAGAATTTTCAATGCATTCTTTTCACAGTCTGTACCAGAAAATGACTCCAGAGGATCTGAAAAATGAGAAAAAAAGATAATCAAAAACAAGCTTCTTTAGAACTCTGACTATATTATATTTTTTAATATATTGATAGATCAATGATGATGACAGACAAAAACAATAGTCACACCCATATTCATTTTTTTAAAAAGTAGCCCCAAACTTTACTTACTACATGTAAACATTTTGTATATTTCCCCCACCCTGCTCCCAAATAAGCTTAAAAGTTCTCAGAGCAAAGAAGCAGCCCGTTTTTCCTCAGGGAAAATGATGCTCTGCATTTTGGTTTGTGCTAAGTGACAGTTGGGACCTCCAGAAAATTCACCACAGAATTCCTCATCATAGAGAACTTAGCTATAAAATACTCCATCCTACAGGCATGACCCCCATACACAAGGGGCTTGACAGTGACTCTGAGAAGTGTTTGCTTCCTGGGATGTCAAATAACGGTTAAGCATGTTGCTACTTCCCACTCCTGTACACATTCCAGACATCACTAATCCACCACAGTCCTCATTTCCACCAAGGTAGGAATTCTTCTCAACATAACAATCTAGATGGTTTACCAACAATCAACTCGCATTGACTCAGTAGTTGGAACCCATTGGCCATTCTGGAGCTAGAAGAAAAAGAGGTGGTTCGACCATCAAGACTCCTATACTTCTAGCCAGATCCTAAATGCTATTACCAGAGAAAATGGTAGTCCTGTCTTTTTCTCCCTTCACACACTTCTTTCAGGCTGATGTTTTGGGACTTCTTTTCCATTTTGGTTGACCTAAATATTTATTGCACACTAATCCACACCTGAAGGAGAAATGGCACAAGGGAACAGTAGACCATGTTAGAGCTCCTGGTCCCATATCCCCTGGAGAAAAGTAGTAGAAGCTCCCTGTCATAGTCATTCAAGTTCAAGTACTTTGTTGCAGAATTTTATGTAGCTGGGTTACAGGGTTGTGATTATCCCTTCAATGTTAGGACTCAAATGGCCTTATTGTGGTGCATCATGGCCTCCTGCTCTTCCTCTGAGGATGTGTTTAGTGTACTTTATTTTTCTTCACCTTTAGACACTAAGACCACAGATTTTAGAGAAGGGCAAACCAGGTTTCAAATTTCCATTCACTGACTGGCTGAGTGACCTTACGTTAGGGATAGGCATGTTACCCACATTGGCCCAAAAATATTTATACCATACTTTAGCTGGAACAATTGGGAAAGATAAGCTTTTTTTTTTTTTAAGATTTTTATTTATTTGAGAGAGAGTGCATGAGAGTGGGTAGGGTCAGAGGGAGAAGCAGACTCCCCACTGAGCAGGGAGCCCAATGCGGGACTCAATCCTGGGACTCCAAGATCATGACCTGAGCCGAAGGCAGTCGCTCAACCAAATGAGCCACCCAGTGCCCCAGATAAGCTTTTTCAGCTAGAATTACTTGCTTTTGAGATGGCGCTTCTGAGGACTACCCTATGGAAAGGGCTGCCTTGGGAGTGAAGCTAAGCAAAGGAAAGCAGAGCCAAACTTTTTTTTTTTTAAGATTTTATTTATTTATTTGACACAGAGAGAGAGCACAAGCAAGGGGAGTGGCAGGCAGAGGGAGAAGGAGAAGCAAACTCCCCACTGAGCAGGGAGACCTGAGCCGAAGGCAGACGCTTAACCGACTGAGCCACACAGGCGCCCCAGAGCCAAACTTTAGATAGTATGAAATCAAACCAAGTGACATCACTTGATACCCTGGATTCAGCAGTCATTGAAGGTACATCTACCCCAGGCCAGTTTAGTTACACATGCCAGGTAGGCTGACTGAATTAATGGCTCCAATTCTTTACTCCTTCCTGCATCTATATCCTTGGCAGTACCCTCCCAATCTGACTCTGAGTTCACTCATATGATTTGTTCTGGCCAATAAGGTGGTAGCATATGTGAAGGAAGCAGAGGTCTGAAGTAGCACTTGTGTTATCTACTTTCTTGCTCTTTTTCCTCTGCAATAGTAATTAGAATATGCCCAGTCTAGCTTGCTGTTAGATGAGATATATGAAATAGAGTCAAGGTGTCCTAGTCAACAGCCAACCAACCGCAAGACATTTGAGCAAGCCCAGTCAAGATCAGCAGAGCTGCCTAGCCAACCAGCAGCTGATCACAGATGCATGAGTTGAGTCCAGCTGACATCCAATGAGCCCCATACACTAGTGGACTAAACAAATACTTCTTACTATGTCAATGTTTTGCAGCTGGATGTTCTGCAGTGTTGCTGCAGCAACAGACAAGGGATATATTCGCTCATAAGTTTTTTTCATTACATTCAATTCTAGTTGGGGTATCTGTGATTTATACCCTAAAGAGTCCTCATATACAGTGTGAAGAAATATTTTCCATAAAAGCTCCTCCTTTCCCTAAAAAGTCCCAACAAAGAATTATACTCCTGTTTCTAACTAAGGAACTTAGTTTCAAATGTTTATGTTGCTCAGAGCTTCATTTTATTTTACTTGAAAATATACAAAAATCATTTTGTATTCAAGATTTTTGCATGATAATCTGTTCTCTAGAAAAGGCAAATCAACAGTTCCAACAATAGGATTCAGTTACATAAATGATGAGAGAGACAGACAGACCATAGATAGAATAATGTGACCGTAACATGAATAGTTAATGAGATGGAAAGATATTCATGACACACCACTCGGGGCAGGGATGGGGAAACAGACTACAAAACATTTTTATGGCTTACATTATAAAACACACATACACACACTAACTTACAGAGAAGACTGGGACAACACACATCAAAATGTTAACAGTGGCGGGATTCCAAGTGGTTTTCATTTTCTTTTATTTGTATGTGTGAAAATTTCTATAATAAAGATCTTTTATATTGTCTTTTTAGTTTCTTTCATTTATTTCTGCTGTGAAATTTATTTCTGATCTTTGTTATTTTCTTCCTTGTACTAACTTTGGGCTTAATTTATTCTTCTTTCTCTAGTTCCTCAAGGTGTAAAGTAGGTTGTTTAGGTGGGATCTTTTTTTCTTAATATAGGTGCTCATTGCTATGAACTTAAGAAGATATATTTTTCCATTCTATAATTCCAACAGCTAAATAAATTTGTTATTTTTTCTATGCTTAGAATCTAGGAATCTAGGTTCTGGCTGAGCCACCACTATTAGAGTTGTCTTCCTAGAAGTGATGAAATCTAACTTGTCCTTCCCTGTCTTCTCTTGTGTCTAGAGGCAGACATTTCTGAGGTCTCTAGCTAGGTTGGAAGTCCCAATCCAAATCTGATAAAACGTATACCCACACAGATTTCATCTTGGGTGATTTTACCAGCCTAGCTGGCCCAGGTCTGGAAAATTGCAATAACCAACAAAAAGTGGATCTGATCATTTTGGAAACACACACAACACACAGATAACATACTGTATAGAGATATAGTAACTTACTTGAAACAATGTTTCCTTATTTAAAGAGCAATACATGTTGACAATGGCTCCCAGTTTCCTTGGGGTCTCTTTTTAGGTGTAGTATCAGGTTTATGTTAGTGTCATGGAATGGACTGAGAAACTTTACATTTTTCACATGTTCTGGAACAGTTAGCATAATAAGCGACTTCTCTATCCCTGAAACGTTTCGAAGAACACATCCATAAACTAAATGGGCTTGGTTGTTGGTTATTTTTTTATTTTTCACTATGTTTAATGATCTATTAAGGCTTGTTACCTATTTTGTATCAATGATCATTTAAATGTTTCTTTTTTTTATTTTTAAAGATTTTATTTATTTATTTGACAGAGAGAGACAAAACAAGAGAAGGAACACAAGCAGGGGGAGTGGGAGAGGGAGAAGCAGGCTTCCCGCGGAGCAGAGAGCCCGATGCGGGGCTCGATCCCAGGACCCTGGGATCATGACCTGAGCCGAAGGCAGACACTTAACGACTGAGCCACCTGGGGGCCCCCATTAAAATGTTTCTTAAGCAACAGTCCATTCCATCCAGATTTTTCAGCCTTACTGGTATTGCTTTAACTTTTCCTTAAAATTTTAAAAATCTCCAGTTATGTTCTTATCTCATTCCTAATGTTGTTTGTATTTTTGTTTCTCTTGATGACTGTATGACAAATGTTTGTCTACTTTTTTAGTGTTTTAAAGATACAGTTTTTGTTTTATTGATACATTTTACTACATTCTATCCTCCATTTCAACAGTATCTCTTTATCCTTAATAATAATCTCTACTTTCTTTGTGTTTACTTTGTCTTTTTGTATTAAATGTTCATTTATCTTCAAATCATATTTTCTGATGAAGGTATGTAATATACACATTGGCTGCAAATTCCAGGATTTTATGTATAGAACTCTTGTCATCTGTAAATAGCTTCCTATTTTTCTTTTGAATTTTTTTTCTATGCCAGGGATTATTCAGAAAGATATATTTAAATGTCAAAGTGGTTATAAGTTTTTGGTTAATTGGTTCTAATTTTGGCTAGTCATTCTAATTTTTGGCATTGGGATCATGGAATATAACATATATGTTTCTAATCTTTGAAATTTGTCAGACTTTCTAATTGGCCCAAGAAATTATCAGTTTCCTTAATTGTGAAAACAACTGATGGATGATTATAGAAAATTTTTAAAATGTAGATATGCATACAGAAGAAAATGAAAACACTCCCAATCCTGGCACCGATAGGCAATATCTGTTAATAAGTTGATGTTGTTGCTTCCAATTTCTTTTAAGTGTGTGTGTAATTTTAGACAAAATTAGTTATTAAATTCTATATAAAGTCTGGTACTCTCCTTTTTCTTCAAAGTTTTATCTCAGTGTCATCTCCTTTTTTCCACTTAACATTAATGCATAAAACATCTTAATAAAACATGATTTTTAATGACCACCAT